TACACACACAGATACACACACACACACACACACACACACACAAACACACACACACACAAATGCATCGACACACCAACAGACACACTTAGCGAATTATATAAAGTAGGATAAGCACTTACAGGAGAATAACAAGTATCGAATAAGTGAAGTGCTGAGCCTCTTCGGACCCGAGGCGCGGGAAGCCGTGGTCGTCCTCTCCATCCTCGACTCCATCGCGGAGCCCGACCGGCCGTCGTCGATCTCGTCCCTCTTACTGCTTCCTCCAATCCCTTTTGTATCTCCGCCGCGTCGCTACCTCCTGTAATCAGTTCTCATCATCGGCGTCGCGTTAAGCTTACTGTATGAGAAACATCATCTATTGGTCACCGTTATAACCCCCGCTCACACACTTCCCCCTCCCCTATAACAAGTCCGTCCCCGGGCTTGAGCTGTTTATGATATATGTAGTAGCGATTATGCGAATAGGTCCGGAAGTGTCGAATCGTTGACAATGACGTCGTTCTCGTGAGCCCACTGCACGATTCTTCGACTTCTCGACGGCCCACTGCCAACTGCTGACGTGGTACATATCGCTAATGGGGGCTCTCGAAAAACGAGAGTAAGTGCGAAATTATGGCCGGGTAGCTCTTTCTCGCAGCTTCGTCTAGCTCCTCCACTTTCTCATGAACAACGCCGTCAAGATGAGATGAAATTAGCGCGCTGCTCGTCCGAAAAGGGGGCTGGTCGCATACGCATCGCATCCTCAAGGCGACGGAGCCAGATTGAGAATTGCATCCCGTTTTCACTAACCTCAGAGGAAGAATTGATCCGTGGAGATGGGCATCCGAATGGAACATCGCAATTGTCGGCATATTGTCAAGACGTTTCCCTACCACTGCAAAAGACTCTTTAAGCTTGTCCCGGAGAGAGACATTGCTTTCATTGGTCTTGCTAGAAAGCAACGCGGTCGTGGCACAGGTGTCGTTCTAGACCTGCTCGATGGCAGATGTGATGGCATCGCGCAGCGCCTTGACGTCTCGTCCATAAAGTAGGGCGTCGTCGGAGTCGTCGTCGAAGATGGAGAATGGTAACTTTTTGGTCAAATCCAAATACTCGGCCTTGGTGTCCGAAGGTTGGGCAAATGCCTCGTCATGGGGAATAGAGCCTGACTTAACTTGCCTACGAGTGATCGGCATGAAGACAAATACAATACTGGATATCAAGAGAGGGTACGATCCAATCTCATAAAACGAAGGAGAGGCGGTGCTTCCCATGTGTTGGGATCCGAGATGAGATTGAGCTATGGGACTATTCCGAGATGTTTTGATCTTTTATCAAGATGAATGTTATGAGAACTTGTGTGTTTCCCGCATAGCCTGCGGCAGATTCCCGGACGGGATCTCGACGCGAGGGCGGGAGGGAAAACATCCAGCACTTGCCTCCGCTGGGTCCAACTTACGGAATTCCATTTTGTTGTGGGAAAACGCTTTGCCGGCGAGAAATTCCAACCCTGAGATAGCGTGGGTGGGGAAGGAAGGAAAAATGCCCTAGAAAACCGTGAGGAAATGGAATATCCCTGCGCGATTCGCAGCGGCCAGCTGTTCGGTCTCTTTCCGGGCAAATAGTCGCAATAAAGGAAAAAGGTCTTATTGCGATAAATGAAGGAAAAACCACAATAGAGGAAAAAATGTCCATGCTGCTAAAGTTGAAGACCTGATCTTAATGACGAGACAATCTTGTAATCTCCTGAAGTGAAAAATACTTTGTTTTATTCGTGTGGGCGCTTCTGCCGGTCCCTCACAAACCCCCGAGTTTTTAGATGTCTATTGGTTGGCATGGTCAAAATGGCTAATGAGAGCCTGAGAGTGTCAGCAAACGGCTACATGAACCATTAAAGTGTACAAAATCGAGAAAGTGGTGGGGAGCGTGTGCGGAGATGCTTCGTGAGATATGAGGGATAGCGGAAGGAGGTTGAACCATTTAGAAGAGTCAATAATCGAAGAAGGAAACTCCAAGTCGTAGTTATATCGACGAAAGGAGAGTTAAAAGATATAAAAATTATAGTAACGAAGAGAAGAGCAAAAGGAAAGAGTATTGAATAGGAAAAATAACACCTAGCAGCGACCTTGCTGCTATAAGAACTGACTTTTATGCTAGTAAAAATGCGTGCACGATGAAAATTTACTTAAACTCACGATCACTGTGCTTGGATCTTTAGGGACGTTGTCCTTGCGCTCAACCATACAAAAGCGATTTATCGTTTAGCCCTACATTGCAACAGTTCTGCTGATGACGCGAGACACCAAAGAAAAATAGCTAGATCTCGAAGTTGTCCGGACCCTTACTGTGAAATAGGAGATCACTGATAGAATGAAAACCACTACCATCATTTTATAAAGCGTCGAATGGCTGACCATGAGGTCCTCACCGAAGGTACAGCCATATGTGCAAGTAGCAAGGAAAGCTAAAGTGAAACGAAAGTTGCCAAAGGAAAGGAAAAGAGATGAGGAAATAAAGAATATAAGTGGAAGACGCCTGGCACTAATGGAACCCTCAGTGGCCATCGCGTCGTCCCGGCTAGGAAGAAAGAAAAGAAAAAAGAGAGCACGCTATCAAAGCGTGCAAAAGCCGAAAACTGACCGGGGAATTCCACTGAGTGCAATCGTACTCGCTGCTACCAGTGAGAGGTCGTGCTCTCACCCTCCTCAGATGAACGTTAGACACAGAGGCATGAATATCATCTATCGATAACAAGCAGTTACAGGAAAATGACAAGTATCGAATAAGTGAAGTGCTGAGCCTCCGGAGCCGCTTGAAGCCGTGGTCGTCGTCTCCATCTTCGGCTCCATCGGGGTGCCCGGCCGGCCGTCGAACATCTCGACCCACTTACTGCTTTCTCCGTTCCCTTTTGTATTTCCGCCGCGTCGCCGCCTCCTGTAATCAGTTCTCATCATCGGCGTCGCGTTAAGCTTACTGTACTGTATGGGAAACATCATCTAATGATCACCGTTATAAGTCAGCTTACACAATGTGTGCGTATATTTGTGTATGTGTGTATGTTGTGCATGGGTACGTGTTTGTGAATGTGAGTATGTGTGTATATGTATGTATGTACATTTGTGGAGCGGGTGTGTGTACACGTGAAGGTGTGTATGTTTGCGTGTACATGTGTGTAAATGTGTACGTGTGTGTGCTCGTATGTGGGTGTTGATGTGTGTGCGTGTGTGTTTGACCTGGAAGTCATAGCTCCTGAAGCTTTGGGTGCTAATCTTAATGGCAGTTTAAAGGATGTGATAATAGCTGATAGGAGCTGATAAGGGGCCACAAAAGGCACTGGAACGTCTGTGCTTTATCCTACTTGTATAACCCGCTGAGTGTGTCTGTTGTTATGTTTATGTGTGTGTGCGTATGTGTTTGTTTTCTCTGACTGGAAATTCGTAACTCCTCTCGCAGTGAACCTTGAGCCTTCGAATTCAGGAGTATAGGCGGCACGATTGGAACACCATGGCTGGTTAACGATTTTATCTTCTAAGTACCCCTCTTAGATATCGAAAAATATTATCGTTCAAGGCGCTTCCCCTGAGTTAGTTTACGGTTTGCGCCGTGCATCCCTTGGAGCAAAGGAACTCGGTCTCCATGTCAAGCCGGAACCTATTCTCTTATTCAGCATTTTCCGTCAGTTCTGCAGTTTGTCTTGGTGTCTTTCCTGTTATCCACTACCAGAGCGATGTCATCAGCGTAGATGACGGTCTTCATTCTTCATAGCCTGACCATAAGTCTTTGTGTGATGTCATGTCTGGCTAGGTCTGGTTCCAGATCCATCCTTGTGTATATAAGCTGCGACGTCTATTGCTTGTCAACCTTGTGTCTGTGATGATATTATGGTAACATCTTTATCTTCAGAGGTCAAAGATAGTTCCCTTTTTTCAATCCCACAACAGTCGCTACATCTAATGCGATTTGTTATGACCCTTCTATGAGTGAGGTCANAGTGCAAGCGGAAGATAAGGAAATGGAAAAATGGTAAACCTAAAAAAATCAGCCTCGAAAAACTTCAGCATTGAAAAAGCAAAAGATAAAAAGCATTCAGAAACAGGACTGATGTGTATGCAAGCTTCGGTATTGTTTATTATTCAGTGGATATTATTCGCCATCTATGTATATGACATATTTGTAAGACAACCTCGAAACAGCAAAGACCTCAACGCTAAATTTTTAGCAACTTTTCGATAAACACTATGGATTTCGCCGAGTGGATTTAACTTTGGGAAGGAAAGTACATTGGCATTTCAAACAGGTAAAAACAAGAATGTTAAAAAAAGCACCCAGCATTCCTTTGTCTTCACACCAAAATTATCAAAAGCTTGAGAGAGACAGTGGCTCTAGTCTTTCAGCTTCTATAATCGGCCTATTAAAATTGTTTTTTGTCATCTGTTATCTGCTACCCACTCACTCCTACATCGTACACTAGAAAAGCAAGGCGATATGCTTCATTGTACATTTAGTAGATTAATCTTATGGCTTCTGCAATTTGGCGCGCATTGTCTGCTCTTCTCAATTATTATCGAAACGCTTGCATCGAAAGCGCGCATCGAAAATCTGATGATGCATGCTAGGAGAAGGACTGGCGAAAAGGACAGGGTATCTCACTTTGCACCTCGCTACCGAGACTTCAGAAGAACTGTTTTTTGGGACATACGACAGGAAAAGCGTCGACAATGGACATGTCCTAGCCAATGCGCACTGGCCATGAACGTTGATACGCACGTAAACTTGACAACCCGAGCTGTAGTTTTGCGATTGAGAATGTGGCTTGAGAATGCTGTTTGTTGCCTACCTACCAACAAGCTACGGAGGATGGAGCTGAAAACCTTCTATATTCTATACCTACAAAGGCTCTTGAGAGATGTCCACTCTTTCACAAGGTCATCGAGGTGATTTGAACGAGCTTCAGAAGAACAGCTACACAGCTACATGTCGGGACTCACTGAACGGGTAGAATGACCAAGGTGAAAGACTGTCCGAGTTAATCGATCGACCGACATCCGATAATTCGCAGATATGGAAGCTTCCTAATTTGCGATGGACTTGGGTTAGGTGTATAACGGATACCGTGTAGCCCTGCACAAGATTGTNTCAAGACATTCACCTCTGTCTCCTGCGCTAAATACATTACTACAATAGTGGAGGTGACGTGGGCTCGAGAACACCAGGCTGGTAGATCTCTCCCCAAAGCTTTTCACCAGCTCCATCTCCTCGGTCGCACGTCGTTGGCTCTCATCGTATCGGCGACCGCGTTGTTCAGTAAGCTTGTAAGTTAGCTACGATCTTTGATGAATCATCCTTTGTTTTCGATGACCGGTATGTCGGCTTATCGGCTAGCCGGTTTGTGTGTTTGTCGGTCTGTCCGTACGTGAAACTTATGATTACGATAAAGGTAGCGATATGGAAAACCCAGCTCTATTCTATTTCCTTCTCATATATAGCAGTAACTTGGTGAGTAGATTAATGAAGTAGAGTGAGTACTACGGAGTGGAGTGATGTGGAATAGGTGATTACTGCAAAACTAACTATAAGATTTCGATCTGTACTGGCATCGTGCTAAGTATGTCTGTACAAAAATCGGAGATGGTAATGTAGTTGGCAGATCCCCACTTTTTCTTTCAACATTGTGCACTAGAGCGCAAATAAGGAGTTTAGCACATAATTGTGCTTAGGAACGTTTTTCGTTTCGAGAACATTCAGTTTTTTGACCTGAGCTCTGGGAAGAGCTCCGAGATTGGTGAGTTAATCGAATAGTCAACTCACATCCCATCCTAGCCTCTTGCACGAGATAATCATCTCGTCCTCACCCCAACGCTTCTCTCCTTTTAAACCTTGGGTAAAAACTATATTTGTCTGCCTAGAACCGACTACCAGCACATGTAAGGTTCTCTTTCTCTGCGCTTAAGCTCTCAGTGTTGAATGAAAGCGATGTCCCACTAAGTGGGTGTGGTGCGATTCACGCGTCAATATGATGAGGTCATCGGGCAAAACGCGCTAAAACATCATGCCCATCATCATAACGGAAGAAATAAGAACTTATAAGTAGAGTAAGCAAAGATATGACT